CCGACATCAGTGTGAAGGACAATTGGCAATATTAATCACCATCAGGGGGGCGCGACAGGTCAGCACTTAAGGGACTTGACACGAAACAAGGGTTTTTAAACAGCCTCGGGCGCCACTCGCTAGCCAGCGTTGATGAAATAATGAGTGATTAAGATTAACTTGACACACCTTCGTTAATCGAAAGCATAAACACTTCAGTCTGAAAGTCCTACCTTTATTTGATGATGCAGTTCCATATCAGAATCTTAATTGTCTTTTAGTCTCTCTTTTTGTGCTATACGTCTCTCTTAGACTGTTGAAATTTCTAGAAAAATATTTCTGTTTTTTTTTTATTCTGTTTTATTCGCATTTTCCATGATCTTTCTTTCTTTCTTTCTTTCTTTCTTTCTTTCTTTCTTTCTTTCTTTCTTTATTTATTTTTTTTTCCTATCTTCCTATCTTCCTATCTTTCTTTCTTTCTTTCTTTCTTTCTTTCTTTTCTTTCTTTGCCATTTAATTTTTTTCTTTAATTATAAGTATTTTGTTAACATTCCCTTTCTTTTCTTTTCTTTTCATCTTAATCTTTTTTTCTTTAATTTCTTTCTTTCTTTCTTTCTTTCCGACCGTAACATTTCCTTTTTATATTTCTTTCTTTCTTTTCTTTCTTTCTTTCTTTCTTTCTTTCTTTCTTTCTTTCTTTCTTTCTTTCTTTCTTTCTTTCTTTTCATTTTACCATTTTTAATTTTTCTCTTTAATTTTAAATATGATCTTGTTATTAATGTCCTCTTTTCTTTCTTTCTTTCTTTCTTTCTTTCTTTCTTTCTTTCTTTCTTTCTTTCTTTCTTTTTACTTTTTAAAAAATATTGGTATCCATAAATCATTCTTTTTCTATTTTTACTTCATCATGCACTTTTCATTTAATTAAATTTTCTTTTCATATTTTTCATTTCTTTCTCTCGTTTTCGCTTTTCTCCTTCTCCCCCCTATCACATTTGACCTTTACTTCTTTTCTTTTCCATTTTCCTTTTTTTCATTGTACTTCCCACTCTCTTTTCTTTTCATGCCTTTCTTTCATCTTTCTTTCAATATCATTATCCTTCATTTTCTTCTCAGTTCCTTCTTCCCGCCTTTTTTTTCTTCATTTCGTTCCTTCCGTCCCTCTCTTCCCCTTTATTTCTTTTTCCTTTCTCACTTTTTTTTTTAAATTCCTATCTTTCTCCCTACCGATCATTTTTTTACTCTCTTTCTTTCGTTTATTTCTATCTTATTTCTTTTCTATCTTCCTTCTTGTCCCCTTTCTTTCGCTCAGCCTTATTTCTGTTCCTTTACCGCCATATTTTTATTAGTTCCCTTTTTTATCGTTTCTCCTTTCCCTCTCTTATTTCCCTTTCTCTTTCCTTCCTTCTATTCCCATTTCATACTTTATTTCTCTTTCTCACTTTCTCCCTTTTCTCTTCTCTTTCCGTCTTTCTCCTACCTTCCATTTTCTTCTGCCTATTTTTTCCTTCCTATTTTCTTTACTCCTTTTCCTTTACACCTCTCACTCTCTTTTCTTCCCTTCTTCTTTCCTTCCCTTCACCCCTCCTTTAATTTACCATCTTCTTTCTCTTATTTATTTCTCCCTTCCATTCCTTAATATCAACCCTTTCCTCTATTTGTTTCTCTCTTCCCGCTTTTATTTCTTTCACCCTTTCTCCCGTCTTCATTCTTTCTTTTTTCCTTTTTTCCTCTCTTCATTCCTTTCTTCTTGCTTCCTTGCTTCCTCTCCTTCCTGTTTTCTTCTTTCTTCCTTTCCTTCTCCATCATTTCTTTCCTTCTTCCTATCTCTCTTTCTTTCTATCCTCTTTACTCCCTTTCCTTCCCATCTTCTCTTCTTTGTTTTTGTTCCTTTTATTGTTTTTTAACGTTCCTTTTGTAACGATTTAGGTTCGAAAACGAACGCCATGTGCTGCCAACGATGCATCACGTGCCGCATGCCACGTGACAGAATTCGTACAGAATTGTTGAAATGTTACACGAACCCAGGAGAATTCATTGTCTCTGCTGTCGAGCGCCTTTTTTTTAGCTGTTTGCCATATACATTTATAGGGATTTTATATTCTTATTTAAAATCGGGAAGGGAAGTCTTGTGCAAAAAAAACAAAAAAAAAACCACACAGACAAAGGCCAATGCTATCGCATTCATAAATGCCCACTAACATACTTGATTTTGTTCGTGTCAACGCAAGAAACACTCTAACATAATGAGCGACACAGTCACATATACGCATGCGCACAAGTGAACAACCGCTTGAGAAAGATATTGCACGCGCGTGCGCGCAAGCAAACACGGATATATATTAATGAGTTAATGTCGGATTTAAAAATCTATTAACTGCTTAAAAATTACTATGTTTAAATTTTGGATACGAAAATAAATTTAGAAGATATATATTTAAAAAATGTCCCAACATAAGATAAGCTTTTTATAAAAAAAATATGATAATTATCGTATTTCATGGCATATAAGGCGCACATTTTTTTTTACTAAAAAAATCTTTTAAAATTCCTCTGCGTCTTATATGCCATATATAGGTTTAAAATTCGCGATAGCCGGCTGAAATTAGCTAAGTTGTAACTCCTATTAGCTTAGACATTAGAGCAAGTTTCATATACCTATTGTTATTATTTAAAAGGATATTATGCAGATTAAAAATCTTATCATTGATACTATTCATTATATTAATTTAATCACGTTTAATATTAGTATTTGTTTCACTAAAATCATATGCAAGAAGTTCAAATTATATATTTGTAAAATATATTTGTTTCATTAATATTTTTCTTGAGATAACTTCCGGCTGCATTGGTATAAATACAATCAGAATTTTTTATGTCCTAATTATTCCACTAAGACGTTTACAAGACGCAGGTTGTACAGATCATATAAAGGGAAATTTTTGATTGAATTTTAATGGTAACTGTATTGATTTGCTCAATTGTAATAATTGCTTTATTTTTATTTTGTTTTTTTTACCTTTGAATATAATAAAGTTTTAATAGGCTCATGTTCTTTTTTTTTCTATTATTTTTCGTTTAATTGTAATCATGGCTTGTTTAACCAAAATAATAACTCACAAATATAGCCTAGGCTGTACCATTTACTAATAATTTTACTAATTTTATTAATTACTAATTTTTTCTTGATTTGCCCTGCTAAAATTGGGGTGCGTCTTATACACCGATGCGTCTTATATGCCGTCAAATACAGTAATTCTAATTTTTCTTTTAACGGATTCTTATTGCTAAGTAATAAAGCACGCCTTGCTTGTAGTTGGTTTCCTAGTTTAAAGGGAACGGAGAAGCTCGTGTCGTGGCTCTAGATATCTCCAAAGCGTTTGATAGGGTTTGGCATGCCGGCCTTCTTCGCAAGCTTCAGGGTTATGGAATTTCCGGTCGATTGTTTGACTTAATACACTCATTCCTGTCAAACCGTGTATTGAAGGTCGTTCTCAACGGATTCTCCTCCAACTCCTATCCCACGAACGCAGGTATTCCCCAAGTCTCTATCCTAGGCCCTACTCTATTCGTTATCTTCATCAACGATCTTCCTGACGTCATATATTCCCTAGTAGGCATCTACGCGGTCGTCACTACTATTTACTCCTGCCTCAAAAACAAATCTAGTGTCGCTGACAAAACTAACCTGGCCGTTCGTATTGAAATGGACCTCCAATCGGTTGTGGACTGGGGCAGAAATTGGCTGGTTAACTTTAATGCCTCAAAAACAAAACTGCTCTCTATTACTCACCACAGAGAACCATCCCTGCTCCCCATTAGAATGTCTGACGCTCAACTCCAAGAGAGCACCTCTTTGCGACTGCTCGGTCTCACATTGTCTGCTGACCTAAGATGGAACAAATACACTGAGTCAATAGCTTCGTCCACCGCAAGGAAAGTTGGCTCCCTGTGCCATGACCGGAAATTTTTCTCGCCGGAGTCGATCCTTCAAATCTAAAAATCAACCATTCACCCTTGCATGGAATATTGCTGCCATATATGGTCTGGAGCCCCGTCTGTTTGTCTCAAGGTTCTTGATAAGATCCAGAGACGGATATGCAATCTAATTGGCCCTGATCTGGCATCTCATCTGCATTCGCTCTCTCACAGACGTGCCGTCGCCTCCCTCTGTTTTTTTTTTTTACAAATACTTCCACGGTAACTGCTCTGATGAGCTGCTTTCGCTGGTTCCCAGACTTCATGTATTGCGAATATATAGGAGAACTCTTCAATGACGAAACTGAACAAACGGCAATACACAGAAATATCGACAGACCGGAAATATTAAAATCTGAAGTGGAATCTGCACTGGCCAAATTAAACAGAAACAAAGTGGCAGGACTAGACGGAATACTAATATAGATGCTGGGTAAATAAGATAATAAATACGAGAAAAGAAATCAATTTTATACAACAAATTATACAATAAATTTCCTATTTATACATCTCTAACCATGGGATTAGCTCTAACGCGTATATCCCCCCCCCCATCTGTTTTTTTTTTTTGTAGTCTTTCCTCCATCACATATATTTATTTATTTATTTTGCTTGGTATCATGTAAATATAATATGTCATAGATTTAAAATTTCCCTACTCCTTAGAAGTACAATCTTCAACGTACATGATGATGATTTTTTTTTGCGTAACCAAAATATAAAAATAGCATTAAATTGTCGTTAATTTTATTTTATTCTCAAGTTGTCTAAAACACTTTTTGACTTGTCTTTAATGTTCATTTTTTTGTACATCTTGTATGGGAAAATGTGACATGACATCACTGGAGAGGCACTCTCTTTCGGGTAAATGTTTTTACGAGAAGACAATAAATAATTTTACTCTTCTGAATGTCAATAAAGCAGACGATATTTTCATACAGAAAACGAAAACGCTTATCTAATAAAAAAAAAAAAAAAAAAAATGATATCTGTCCCTTGAATTGCATAAAGATATCCAAAAAATATAACATTGTTTAAATAGTCTG